TAAAGATAGTGAATTTCAAAAAATAATTAAAAAATGGGCATTTTTTCAAATTAACATACATACAATAACTTTTAAATGGAGAAGTAAGGATTTATATATTCCAAACTTACTTGAGACTAAGACATATTTGTTACTGTCGTAACATAAATATAATAACGTGGTATATTACCTCTTATACCAGCAGTAATAACGGAGTCAATTATTTAACGTACCATCGAGGTACATACATATGGTAGGGAATGTGAAACATGCTTGCAACTAGGATAACCCAATGCATAAAATATCCTGCGTTCATGCTGGGTCCGAGAAATGGCCGCACCTAAGAGGACGTGAAGCATTCTTACAACTGATCTATTAGGTTATATTAGATGTACCCATACTCCAAGCATTCAGAGTTTCAATCTTGATTTTCTCTGTGCCATTATTGAAAGCAAATAAATGTGTATTATCATGAATTGCTAATGTTGGATAAACCCTTGATGTTATGCATGTTTTCCCACCAGCACCAAAACTTTCCACTACTGAGTTATCAATCTGAAAATATACAAATAGTAAAAAGTCAATAAAAAACAATTCACAAGAGAGGAGAGAGATATAGAGAGAAAATTGAACATATTGAGTAAAATATGATGAAGACAAACTTACCAAGCTCCTAAGAGATAGCTTCTTGCCTACTAAATCAACATCCACATATCCAGCAAATGACGGTTTGTACATTGCTTCACTATGCTTAAGGGTAGACCTGCCCATCAAATAACACAAGGTTAGATATTTCAACTACACTAATGGCAAGTTAACTTAACAAATATCATTTGGTTAATTGTAAAGCAGTTTATCCTAGGTGATTTTATTCCTTACGATAATCAGGTCAGAGCTAGAGTATTACGTACGGGTTTGGATGAACCCAATGGATTTCTTTAGATCATATATTATTTGTATTAGAAACATAATTTAATATATATAATATATAATCGTGAAAGGGGAGCCTTGGCGTAACTGGTAAAGTTGTTGTCATGTGACCAGAAGGTCACGGGTTCGAGCCGCAAAAACAGCTTTTAATGCAGGGTAAGATAGCGTACAATAGATCCTTGTGGTCCGGCCCTTCCCCGGACCCCGTGCATAGCGAGAACTTAGTACACCGGGCTGCCCTTTTTTAATTTTATAATGTATAACTGTGAACATAGTAAATAAAACGAGCTATGAGTTCGGTAGTAAGTTTAGAATCTATAGAATTCAAATTCTGGCTCCACCTCTGATGATAAGAGGGAGAAGTTGTAGAATAATCACAATCACATACCACCATATAGTTGGATTTTGGGTGAAGAAACATACCTTCTAGCATCTGAGCACATGAGAACTTTATAATTTCTTTGGGCCTTGAAAACTCTGAAGAAAACAGGTGTGTATTCTTCCAAGTTTTTAGAAGCTAATGTGACAAGCCCAAATGGCCCAAGCCCACCTTGAATAGTCGAACCCTTAATAGCACAAACATCTTGGGCATAAAGGTCGGCCCATTTAGGATTAAATTGCTCTGCCTTGTCCAAGCTTGAAAAAGAGAATGTTACTTCAACATCAGCCTGTTAATTTTCAAACTAGTTAGATCGGCTATATAAATTCTCACTAACTCATCTTAAATAATTATTATATATATAAAAAATAAAATACTATATAATATTAGAAGTATGCATAAATATCTAAGAAGGGAAAAAAAATATTTGAATTACGAAAAGTAGAAAAAAAGTCAACCTGTGCAGGTGTGATTCCTTTGACTTCAACCATCTCCCCTTTGTTCAACTTCTTGTTGCTCAATTGGACCATTTGTTTTCTTAAGGTTTCTAATTCTTCAACGGGCCATTGAACCAACTGTTTACCACTAGGGTCGAGCCATACTTTGCGCGGAATAGCTTGAATTCCAGCCCATCCTTTCTTAATATCATCGTCGGGTAAAATATCCGATTCATTAGTCCAACCCCATACGATTCTTCGATTCTTGACAGGGTCATAGAACGATTTAGATGCATAAAAATTGCCATAGTCGAGTCTCAATCCCTTCCAACCATCGATAAAAGTGTTATCTGGAATGTACCTATCTTTTTTACTGTCGTACGTACCAATAGTGTAGTACTCAAACCTAGTAACATCAAGACTATTTTTAAGGACATATTTAGTATTCTCACCATAGTATGATGCATCTAAACCTTTAGTACTTTGCAATGATACAGGATAAAAATCAGGACATTCCCAATTTCCAGTATTAGCAGATGAATGGAGTGGGTGTTTAGCCTTAACCCATCTTATAAAGTCTCTACTCTTATACAATATTGCTAATCCCCTTTGTTTTCTCAAACTCCCTACCAAAATTCTCCAATGACCATCTTGGCCCATCCAAGCTGTTGTCGGGTCGCGAAATTGGGTCTTGTTGATACTGATATCGGGGACGATTAACGGGTTGTTATCGGGCTTGATCCATTCACGGAGATATGGATCGGATAAGTTGGCGGGGACGGCGTAATTTTGGACTTGGGTTTTATTGGAATCTACTAGTCCAGTATATAAAATAATGGGCTTGTTACTAGGGAGAATGGTTGCTGATCCAGACCATGTTCCATATTTGTCAAATTTTTTAGATGGATAAATTGCAGGCTCTAAATGAATCCAATTAATCAAATCTTTTGAAACTGAATGAGCCCAAACAATATTACCCCAAACTGATCCTTTTGGATTGTATTGATAGAATAGATGATAGATTCCATTGTAATACATTGGAGCTGTTGGAAATAACATGAAAATCACATAAGTGTAACTATTGGTGATTGTATATAGTACTATTGAAAAAGATTTAAGGAAAAATAAATAAATAAACTTACCATTAGGGTCTGTTGCATATATTAAGGCATGCATCAACAGAGACCATAATAAAAAAAATGATTAGTTAAAACAATTGAATGAACATTGAAAAATTATCAAATAATTATCAAATACATGTAGAAATTACATCCATTGACGTTAAAAATAGGTGGTCTTTAATTTTTAACCTTGCTCCCCCTGGGCAAACATTTATACAACAACAACAACATACTTTGTGTGATCCCACAAGTGGGGTGTACTGCAAACCCTACCCCTATCTTATGTGAGGTAGAGGGGTGGAGATAGAGAGAAAGTAGACGATTTTCTGAAGTTTAATCTCCTCTATAATGCAATACTTTTAATAAAATTGCATCATTAATGCATGAAACAACAGAAGAATAAATTATAAGAGAGCGCATAGATATAGTATTCGAAAATAATGCAGAGTAAACATAAATATGGGACATGTGGTAAAGTTGTAGAACGTTCACTATTAAACCATATACTTAAACCAAAATTCGAAAATAATGCAGAGTAAACATCAATACGAACACGTGATAAAGTTTTAGAACGCTCACTGCTAATTAAACCTTAGACTCAAAGTCATGTTTAAGTCGAATTGTGACAATAGAGCAATATTCGAAAAGAATGCAGAATAAACATCAATATGGGATAGGTGGTAAAGTTTTAGAACGCTCACTACTAAACCTTAGACTCAAACTGGTGTTTAAGTCGAATTGTGATAATAAACCAACAGAGAAGATAGTTGGGAGGGGAGAGGAAGAAGATGAACGTACCATTGATCCAATGCTTTGGTGGTTGAAAATGGAAACCAGTTCTGTGGACATTTTTGACATTAACAGCACTTGAAGATTGTAAGTCTATATAAACTTTGTGGGAACCAAACACTCCATTAATATTCGGAAAAACTACAATGAAACTAACTAAGGAAATTGCAAAAGTATCCCAAAGAGAAGAGCTTTTCTTAAAAAACTCCATCTTTTTGTTTTTCTTTTCCTTAATTTTTGTGATGTGGAGAAAGAAACTGAAGGAATGAAGAAGAAAGGAAAGGATGTTTGGAGTATTTATAGACAAAACCAACTATATATGATGAGTGGATAATAAAAGGGATGATTTTGGATTTTCTTTTTCTTTTTCTTTTTTATTAAATAAATGGATAGGAATTAATAAATTTTTTGGATAAACTTCAAATATAACGATGGAGCAGTTGTTTTAGAACATTTGCGTCTTCGAGTTTCCTTTTACTTGCCAGCTTTTCTTACACGAGCTTTTCTTTTTTCACTTTTTTCCCATGATCATATAGAATTTTATACTATTAAATTAAATTGACTTATACAATTGAATAACATATAGGAATGGTAGGAATTGCACTTTCACGAGGACAACGATATTGTAGTTGCAGTTCACTGATTGTAATTGTACCGTGCACTACGTGATACGTCCATGCAGGGGCAGGGTTAGGAGCCCGCCTATAGTTCGGCTAACTTTCGCTCAAATAGTATATTCGTGTTAAGAAATTCATTAATATGTATAAATATTAAATTTAGAATCGAATTATTTGCACTAATTTAAGTTGTCGTTCTAAAATTTAGGACTCATAAAATTAAAATCATAGCTTCGCTTCGACGTTCATGGTTCAAATTTCACCAACAAAACCTTCTTGCTCTTCTAATTTTTCCTCATGGCTGCTCCTTCCAAACCCATTAAACATAAAACAAAACAAAAAAGATTTAGAATTTGAAGTTTCTAAGTTTTGAAGTTTATTTACCCGAAAAATCGAATAACGTTAGATTTGTGTATGGTTCTAAGGATATGCGATACAATTT